CCTACACTTTAAGGAGATTTGTGGATTGAACTTGGAAACATAGAAAAATCAATTTATTATATGAACAACCTGAAGCTTTTCTAAACATTTAATTCCTTTTTCTCTTTAGGAAAATATGCACAAGTAACAAACAATCCAGAAAATGATGGCTGTATTAATGCCATTCTACTTGTTTAAGTTGTCTTTAATACTAAGCATTGGACATGGGCTTCTGCAAAATCAGTGCAGTTTCAACAAGATCTCTGGAATCTTCAACCATTCAAGAACACTGACCCCACAAGCCTGTGAGGTACTTAAACATGCCAGAAACAAATGCTTGGATTTTTATATTTATTATGTTGGCTCAGCTGAACACTGTCCAAACAAAAGTGATTAAATTTTCATGTTTTGCTGATGTGGTGTGGATTTGATCTAAACTTTCTTGGTGTTTTTACATGAGCAGTTTCCTGACTTAGATATGTAATATAAATACTTAATTCAGCTCACATTCTTAGTGATGGTAAATACAGCCACTGTCTGCCATGATGGCCTACTGTAATAGCTAAAGGTATAGAAGAATGTACCAGCTTGTATTAAGTTTCTGAGAAAGCAGAAGAGCTGGAAGAATGCAGAAGAGCTGGAAGATCTTACTGCAGACTGGCATCAGAAATTCAACCCTCTGATACTTGCCCCTACAGAAGCATGGCCTTGAGAACACATGAGCAGCATGGGGTGCAGGGGGGAAGATACCTAGGGGGACAACTATTCTCCCCCCACCCTCATTACCTCATAGGTTTCTCCCCTTTGCCTCTATGACTGCATTAGTGGAAAGAATAAGGGCTGGGGATTGTAGCACTGTAGTTCCAGGCAAGAGGAGAAGAGTTTCAGAAGTTTAAATTTATGGAGTTGTAAGGGTTTTAAGATGTGAAATTTGAGGTGGTGTGACAGCCTTGATAGCTACAAGCAGGTGTAGTATCTTGGCTGCTTTAAGAAACATTCCAGAAAAACTAAAGGTCACAAGCATCAACTGATCAATACATATTTAGCTTGCATCCTCAAAATACAAGAAACAAAAGCTGCTTCTAAACTGGAAGCTTTCAGTGATACTGTATATAACTGCATCAGTAATCTCTGAGTCAAGAATTTGGTGGTAAACAAACTTAGCACAATCTGTCACTACAAATAAACATGCCATTTTGTATTTTGAAATGTACTACTTTGAAACAGTACTTTCAAGCCAAGGAACTTTTAACACAAATTCCAAGACAAATCCTTATAAGCTTGCTCCAGTTTTTGAGGGCCATCTTACCCCTCAACACTGTAAGAAGGAAACTTTCAAACAAAGCTTTTAAGATATTTCAGAAGACAGAATGTGAATAGGTTTGCATTGGGGCTTCTTGCATTAAAAGTTATAGGCTAGAGGTGGTCACACATGCAATAAGCAGGTTGAGTAGCAGATTATAGAATGACAGAGTAGTTAAGGTTGGAAGGGACCTCTTGAGATTGTGTAGTGCAAGCCTCCTGCTTAAAACAGGTGTCTGAGGGCCACATCCAGTCTTGAAGGATGGAGACTCCACCACCTCTCTGGGCAACCTGATCCAGTGTTTGACCATTCTTACAGTTTAAGATGTTTTATGTTTAACTAGAACATCCTGTATTCTAGTTTGTGCCCACTGTCTCTTGTCCTGTACTGGGCACCACTGAGAAGAGTCTTGCTCCATCTTCTTTATATGCCCCCACTAGGAATCTGCACACAAGGTAAGATCCTCCCAAGCTTTCTCTTCTCCAGGCTGAAGAGTTCTAGCTCTCAGCCTCTTGTACAACACTCCAGTCCCTTAATCATCATCATGACCAGATGATGTTTCAGACCTGGAACTCAAGCCACAAAGTTAAGCTAGCTGCTTTTCTACCAGCCTTCTAACTTCTCTTACACTATCTGATAGAGGCAGTACTTCAACTATACCACAAAGCCTTCTCCTCTTACAGGCTATTTTGTTAGTTTAAACACATTGCAGTAGTCTAGACTTGTCACTACACAAAGAAGTAAAAATCATAGTGATTTGAAACTAAGAGAGGGTCACAAGCCAGTAAGTCATTTACTTGGAAAGAAGGCATTTTATCAAAACAGATAAAGCCTCTGTTTTAAGTTCTTGTTGCTTTACCCTTTACTGCACATTAACAAGTAACATGAACAGAATACTTGAATTTTCTACAGCTGTCTCAAGAACATTACTACATTTTGTGCTATAAATACGTGACTTGTTGGCCGAATAACACAATTGTTGCACTCAAGACATTTTGATGTTCCACACTGTAGGGAGTGTGTTACAGCATTTCTAGTTGGCTTGTCTATAGCAAACTATGTTAATCGCTAAGTTTACATCATCTTGCATAGCTGGTATAAACAGCAGAATGCATCCTGTAACATTGAGTAGAGCCAATTCTACAGCTTTTTTCTGAAAGTCTGATGCATAAGCTAATTAACGACAGGAAATTGTTTTAAATCGATAAAAGATTTTTCAATTAATAATCTTTGAACTTGTAAAGTTCTTTGGTAGCACACAGATTGTAAAGTGATGCTAGTTCCAGTGAACTGAACCACTTTAAAGCATGCCTCCTGTATAGCAGAAAGGAATCAAATACTAAAAACCAACAAAAAAGTTTGCAAAATGTAAGTTTAATTACTACTTCAAAACATTTCAAAAGCAGCCCAGACAGTACTGAAAAAAGGAAAAACTAACACTGTAACAAGACTTACGTACAATACTCTAGAATAGCAATACATCTTTTGTAAGACTTATAAAGAGGGTATCACTAGTTTAGAAAACATGTAACACCACATTTGTTAAAATAAGTTTAGAAGTGTATCCTCTTGGAAATAAAATTGTAGAATGGTCACTTAAAGCAGAGAAGCTGAAGCTTAGGCCTATTTGTTGCTATTTTTAACTCAGTAGTGTTGATGACATTGTAAATGATCAGTTTGATTACTGATGTCTAGAAGTGAAATTGTACAAAAAAGGAACAAGCTAAGGTCAGACATCATTTCAAATAAGTTAAAAGCAGTTTTGAAATAGGACATGGATACGTTTTCATGTAAAGAGCTATGAAACATGAGAACAGCAAACAAGATTTCTGCATGAAATGAAGATAGACCAAAAGAGAATGCAGGAGAAGCAAAGTAAATGCTATTAAAAATTAACAAGCAGTACAAGACAGACATTTCAACAAATGTTGGATTCAAATGCAAAACTATTTACCAGTTAAGTGCAAGGCTGAAGTCACAAATTAATGTTCTTTAAACTCTATTCCTAGACTAAATAAAGCTCAAAAATAATACTGCTTGCTTTTACTGTACACATGTAGTTCCACAGCATGTTGTAATAGCATTTGGTACAAACTTGTATAAAGTTGGTGTTTTAATCATTGGTTGCTGGTGCAATAAGATCTTAAAAATTCTTTAAGAGTTTGATGGTAATAAGACAGACAGTTAACAGGCCAAAAAAACCCCAATTGTCCAAGCCTAAAAAAAATGCTGGTTTTCAAGGCAAACACTTCAGTCAATAGAGTTGTCAGGTATGTTCCCTTGCATTAATGTAACAGAAGCTACAGAGTATTAAACTGCTGTTCCAATGGGACAATCAGTACAGCAGTAAAAACCTATTATTTAAAATCTGTATTTTCATTTTTCTACTCCATGTTTACTGCAAGATGATTGATGCTGAAGAAGTTGTTACAGAAATAAACTCTGCCCTTTAGTTCAAAAGTAGTGCTGCAGTCACAATTAGAACAATGTCCAGTTTTCAAGACTCTACTGGTCATCAGAATTGCTAAGTGCATCAAAACTGCCCACATGCTGCACATAACAGTCTAGCCATCAGCTACTATCTCAGGTACCCCAGATTTACAGAAGTATCTATTCAAGAGTTTAAAGATGTGAATTTAAGTTCAGTATTTAAAACTGGCTCACTGAAATGAGATCAGAAATCTGACTGTTCTCAGTAGAAACCAAGACTGACCTGATCTAATAATCTTGTTGTAATATTTACATATTCCATATGCAACTGTCTTAAGACAGACAGTAATTGAAATAAGTTTCAACTTAGTCATGAAAAGTAAAAACCAGATGAGTGACACTACCTTCTCATGAACCTCACAGGCAATACAAGCCATAAACATACTTCAGTTACTTCTAGGTGGAATGTATTTGGGACTCACTTTTCATGAGCAAAAGAACCCTTAACTTTTTGAAAGTGGATACATTTGTATTAATTGAGTATTCCACAGATTAATCTTTAGTAAAGCTTGCTCTAAAAATGGAAGATTAGTCACAATATACAGTATACAACCACCCTTTAAGCCACCAGCCCTCACAAATCTGAAACTCTTAGCAATGCAATAGATGTGTTTTCCAGCCACTCTTTTTTTTTTTAACCACAGTAAATCTTACCAGTAAGCCATACAGGAGATAAGAGGTTTTGTCTCATCCTTTATAGAAAATGCATGATTAGTTTTAGAAATGCTTAAGGTTCACTTGAATAGGTTTACAATCACAAAAGACCTTGAACATTTATCAGTCATGGGGTTCATAAGCAGTACCTGTATGTACCTTGATAGGAAGTTACAGCTACATGCAATAGTTCAAGAAACCCAGATTTAACTCAGCAGTCCCATGCACCCTGAGTCCAAAGTTTAGGTAACACATGTTTCTTAAAAACTGCACTTTTTTTCCTACAAGCTGCTCTTAACAGATTAAAAAGGAGTATGGTAATTCATACTATTTCTTTCAGTTGATGAAGTATCTTATACAGTTAAAATACCTTATAAATAACAGTTAAACTGTATAAGCATAAAATCCAAAACCAGATTCTTACATTAGCTTCACAGAGGGATAAAAGTTAAGACAGCATTGCAACTATGCAAGTGAACCTTGTACTCAGAAGTCCTGAACAGCAATTTCTAGGTAACTATTTTTGAGACACTGTGGGAGACTAGTTCACTCATCTTAGAAAAAGCATATAGCAGGACAAATAGCGGTGTGGTTTCCTGTTCTTAGAACCATTGTATTTTCTTATTCCTGAGTTTAACCCATTACAAGAGGAGCTTCTATTGAAAGAAACACATAGCAAAATAAGGAGTAACTTACTGTATGGGTGACAAATTAAGTTAAATATATGGTTTGCCAGGAGAACCTTTGAAGGGAAACATGCATGAAAATCCTTTTTTTATTTGTTTGCATACATTCTGTTTGCTTTTAAGAAAAGCTGTGAACTGGGAAGCTATCATCCCAGGGATTACATCTTAGTTAGAAAAAGAAAGTGGGAATCAGAAGTATTTGCAAGCAATCACCTGCTAACTCCCAACGGTATAGAAGTCTGGGAAACAAGTATATGCTGAAACACACTCTTAATATTCACACTAATAAGTGTCACAACCACCTGAAATGCCAGCACTCACAGGATTCACAGGCCTGGCAGTCGTAACATTTTAATAGTTACCTGACAGCACCAGCCAAGTATTTAGAAAACACAAAGCACCACTTCCATTCAGACCAAAATGAGATCAAAAGTTGTCATATCCTTTTTCTGTAATGTCACATGTAATCAAGTATCCCCATAACACATGCAAGTAGTTAGGAAGGCAGTCCATATATGTACTGGAGTCTACACTCCAGAAAAACTTAGGCTTACTGAGATGCTTGCTTTGGAAGCTACAAACAGTTTACTGCGTAGGCATCTCTTAATCTACACGTAAAGAACTCCATTATCAGAGTATGCTATGGCAAATACTGCGCTGACCATGTTTCTACTGACTTAGCATTTGAAGCGATTCTCATGAAAGACAGATGCTCCTTATGTTGTTTTGATCTACTGAGTTATACCTCCTTGTGTATTTTGAGATCTAGAATTACAGAATCTTACTTTTTTTAATCTTGTCTGAGAAAATCTATGGGGAGGCAACAAGAAGCAAGGATGGATTTTTCTTGTTCTGCTCCTCTCCACATAGAGAACATGAAATTATTAAAAAAAAAATACCAGAGTGATGTCTGGCCTCATAGAAGTCTATGGGAATTTAACAGACCTTGTTAGGGCCAGGATTTCACACTGCATTTTTCTTACCCAACTGCCACCTGAATTATGAAAACTGCTCCCTTTGCTAGCACAGCTGTATTTATTCAGCACGTATCCTTTATAAAAGGAGGAGACTGGCTGTTTACTTTCATACTCTGATGAAGCTCAATGTCTAGTGGTTACAAATTCAAGAAAACTTGAGGAAAGGTGATGAATTCCAAGAGGAAGTCCAACCCAGAATTTTAAACATGTGTGTCCCATGTCCCATATGGTTTAGTTACACCCTAGTGTTTTATACAAAATAACTTTCTTATAAATAGATGGATTAACAATCAATATTTCATTTTTAAGCTGGCTTTCCTTTTTTCTTGGGTGGACCTTTGCAGCCTTTGGCCTTTCTTCGCAAGTTTCTCCTGTCTACAATGGGTACCTCAATTTCTGCTTCCTCAGAGCTGCTGTCAGCAGCCCGCTCCACTGCTGTCTGTGGGTACTGATCCATCTGCTCAGCAGAGTCTGAGTGCTCTTCCAACTGGTTCTTCGGTCCTTCCTGTCCAGAAGGCTGCTGAAAAGAAACACCCTCAAGTTCAACCACTATCAAAGAGCTCTGACTCAAGGCAACAGGAGCCTCTTGTAAATTGTGCCCTGCTTCCTCATTTTGATCTTCCAATGAGGAAGCTGTTTTGGGCGACATGTTTTCAGAAACAGATTCTTCCCCTGCTTCCATTACCATAGAGTTGGGCAGGCCATTGTCAGATGGCTCTTCCTTCGATGCCAAAGCAGCTGCATTTTCAGTGGTCGTCTTTTCAGATTCTGGCTCTTCTCCAGTGCCCTCCTTCTCTACTGATGTACTTTCTTCAGCCAGGACTTCTGAATCATTTGCATTTAAAACCTGCAGGGAGAGGGAAAGGGTGCCAAAACAACCAAAGGGACAGTTAATTGAAGATACAAGAGGCTGAACAACTACTGCCCCTAGCTAGCAACCACAGAGGATTTTTTGGCATTCAGCAGTTTTAATACTACATTTACAGTCAACAAACCAGTCCTTTCCTCCTTTTTGCACAAAACTGTTTTGTGAACTGCATTTGATATCCAGAGTTGTTCTCCTATTTTCAAACTCAATTTATTCAAAAGATTATTCAAGTACAGTGAAGATATTCTGAAATTAATCCCAGGAAAAAAAAATTTAATTGTATATGTCTAAAGTAGCATTTTGCTAGCATATAACAATCTGCTTTTGCACTACAAACAAAACCCAGTAAAATCTGTGTTCTAGAAGGGTATTTTGCCAGTAATTAATTGCTTGTAAACTTCATCAGGGCAGAGTTACTAGACAAAATAAGGATGTGGCTTTTCACTTATATCCACCAGTATTTTAGTGAGAAAGAGCTGTTTCATTATGGCCAAGGGAAACTGGAGCAATGTATCTTTCTTTTTGGTATCACATGCATATATGCCCCACTTCTGCATACAGAAACAGAAATGTTAGTATATTCTGTTTATGGATTTACATCATCTGGCTTAATAATTGCTTCTCCCAACTATTTCATATGCTGGTAGGGGCTACTTTCTATCTGTTACTTAAGAGAAAAACCAGCAAGATATGTACACTCTGAAGGAAAGATGACTTCACATCTTGTTTCAATTCTCTCACCTTCTCTAATACAGCATCTTCTGAAGGTTTTGCCGGAGACTCAAGGATTAATGGAACAAACAGTGTTAAGGGTTCTTCTCCTTGACTCTCAGACTGCAATTCTGATTCACCACTTAGAACTTCATCTGCTGTTTCCTCTTCAGCCATAAGTGAGGTCCTACCAGTTTCTTCTGTTACCTCACCATTAAGAGGTTCTGATGGAGTTTCCTAGGGAAAAAAAAAAATCACCTTTCTAAGTCGAGATTATGCCCAGTCATTGTTTCCCAACACTAGTGGGTGGATCTATGATCCAAGTTTGCAGCTTAATGTGAGAAGCAGATAGCTCAGGTACCCAGAAATGTGTACTAAGAAGGTAGAGCTTAGTGCAGAGTAGCTAACTTAACCAGTGTATTAGCTTGGTGTTGTCACCTGCGCTAAATTTTTGACCATAGCTTACACTGTTGGAGCCAAGCCAAGCAGTTTTTATGCATCTCACAAGCATACATGCTGCAGTCATTCCTTGAACCCAACACAGCTTAAGATCCACTTTGTCACTGATCAGTAAGCATATAAAACACTGGAGGCATCACCAGGCACAAAGGGTACTAACAGATTTAAATTCAAGCTGTTAACAAGTTGTAGATAAAGGCTGGATTTAAACATCAAAGCAGGCAAGCTTTAAGTGGAGAAGTAAAGAAAGCCAATAGTAGTCACTGAAGCATACCAGCTATTGGTTTCCTCAAAGAAGTTTTTTTTTTAAAGTAGAGATACTGGATCAGATCTTGACCATACTCTAGTTCTCCAGATTGTCTCAGGAGAAATCAATTAAGAAAACTAGCTTGTCTACCAGCTTAAGAGTTCACCTTACTGAAGATCCTATAAACTCTATTGTTCAAAATAAGTATAATGGAATATTCCCTGAAACTAATTTTATACTAACCTTAGCTTCTCAGATATACTTCTCAATGAAGCATTGGTACAGAAAAATCAAAGAGTTGATAGTCACATGGATCAAGGCAGTAAGGACCATATTTAACAGAAACATATTTGTATTCCAAACTTATCTGCTATCGCTATCACATCCAGCTCACCTCCTCCTCACTCAGTTTCTCAGGGGGTGATCCATGTACTTCTGCTTCTGATACAGACAGGCCCTCATTTTCAACACTTGTTTCCTCATCCTTCTCAACAGTATTCTCTTCAGATACTTCTAAGTTTCCAGAGCTTCCAGATGTGTGGGCAGGAGGTTCCAGCCTGCAGTAGGTATTAAGATATATCCTTTAATCTTTTAGATTAATACACAATTTTGGTGATCTCAGAAGTTCTTTCATGAAAGTGCTGTATCACATGCTTGCCATAGGAAATAAGAATCCAGAAAACTAATAAATCTAAAAATGGTTAATCCCTCATTAGGAAAAAGACATCAAGTAGGAAAAATTGCTTTGGCTGTTATAAAATGAAGATATTTCTCTCACTTCCATTTTATGGGAATAAAAGTCAGAAATTTAAGTTTGTTATTTTTAATTCAGAAAGCAGTAATCCATTACATATTTGCAAGCCACAACGGCGTGAGAGAGGAAGCAGCTTCTCCCATCCCCACTGTAGAAACAGTTTAAAATTAAGGAGTTATAAAAGCAAATGTTTGTGTAATTGTTAAATATACATATATTACAAAGACCATGACTGGAAAAGAATTCAAGGCAATAAACACAATGTGGCTAAAGAAGATTGAATCAGCTAGACATTAAATTAGCAAATAGCTAAAGATGAAGTTCTGATGCACCTGATGGGTAGTAACACTATCTCAAACGTTCAGTTCTCATTTTTGAGATGATAAAACTGAGATAAATTGGAAGTATTACATACAAACAAAGATAAAAGTACATGCAATAGGTTTGCAGGAGGCTACTTCACAATCTCATAGTAAAGGCAGTATAGGAGAGTTTTATCCCAGGTGCCAGTCTTGAGATGAAGGCACTCCATAGCAGAAAGTCCCTGACAGGAGACCCTGCTGCATTTGCTAATGTGTACGGAGAGAAAGAACCAAGCTGATATCCTGCCCTGTTGCCATCAGGATTCCCCTTAGCTCTGTTCACAAATACCATGTTACACATCTTGTTCAAAGGAGCAGTGGCACCTCATTGACTTCATTTTGCAAGGCCCAAAAGACTGACATTCTATTAACAGGCTAGTCCTCACACATGCCAACTAGTCAATTATTAGTAGTAACAGGGCAAAGAATCTCTCGACCTGTGGCAGCATGAAACCATGCCATTTGGCCTGTCTGAACCAGCTTAGGGCAGCATACTGACAGTGCAGGACAGCAGTGCAGTATCTCTGTAGTTCCACGGAGCAATTCAAAAACAAAAATTAGCCTGTGTCTAGCTGAAGACCTTGCTTCACTTGAAAAAAAGAAAGCAACTAACTTTGTTTAAAGAAACCAAAACAAGTTTGAGTGATTTCCTAGAAAATAATCAGGCTATCTTCAGTTCTTCAAAAGAGGTTTTTGGGTTTGCAGTGGGGTTTTTTTGGAAAAGAATGAGGGGGAGACAGACATGGAGTGGGGATAGGGACAGTGTGTGTCTATAAGCATGCATATACTCACATACAGGAAGGGGAAGGAAGGATAAATTAATTGAAAATAGACACAGTTCTGCTTTCTGGGTGGAAGCCAGTGCAGATTAGTACTTCAGGCCCCACCTTGTACGAATTATGGCATGCAAGTGGTACAGTTCTTCACATCCCCATTTGATAATTATTACACAGGATAACATCCTTTAAGCTAGGACAACTTTTTTCCCCAGGATGTAAGTCTCTATATGATTGTTTTAAAATCAGAATTTGTCTAAACAAAGGGCTCTACTTTGAAGGCAGGTGGCTCCTGTAACTCTTTTGTTACCAAGTGACAAGCAGGAACCAGCTCCCAAACTACACAGTGAGACTTTACTGCAATATGCCACCATAATAAGAGGTCAGGAAGGGACACCTCTCCAAACATGACACATAGCATTGTGGATACATGTCCAGTTATATTATTGCAAGAAACAGTGCTGTATGAATATAATGTTTTTACCTTCACGCAGACTCAGTTATAAACAGAATACCCTCAGGCCTCACTGTTTTCTTATTGTTATTTTCAGTACCTGCCAAGCTTTCAGACACACTGCATTTTGGTGCCACCACTCTTCAGGCGATGTCTCAATTTTCCTTCTCACATCAAGCTTTATTTTCAGTAATTTTAAAATCAAGCAAGTAAAGTATGAAGAAAGGAGAAGAAATACCAAGGAGCACACTGTGAGACACCGATTAGTTTGAGACTGCCTAAGCAACAAAATAAGAAATCAGTAAAATATGGGCTTCTCTACCTGCTTTCTGACACACGAAGAGTGTTTTCCTCATCTCTTGGGGAAGTTTCAGGTTCAGATTTCCGGCTACTTTTTCCTATCCGGGGACGTTTTAAAAGACTGCTTCGTGTCCAAATGGCAAAGGGCAGGGTTACGTTAGGGTCTTAGGAAAAAACAACAAAAAACAAAACAACAAAATAAACGCAAGTGAACAAATGTAGTGTAAGATCCAGATATAATTTCCCCTCCTAATATTTCCCTGAAGAAACTGAGTGCCAGTGAAACAGCATTTCATTGTGGTACTTTTAGTGAATACACATACATACTGTCTTTACCAAGACTCACAACGATTTTATCCAAAGTTCTCTGAAAGGTTTGAGTTGAGCCTCAGCACCTTTGAGGAAGGCATATTTTTATATATTTTGCAGATGAATATGCTAAGATTGAAAGGGGTAAAAGAGCCTGCTAACGTATTAATCCACAGTAATCACAATACTGATAATCAAGGTTATTTTTACCTTTAGATGTGCTTGCTTGGACATCCATTGATTCTTCACCTTTTTGAGTGTCAGTCTGTGAAGCAAATGCATAGCTAATGTTATTCCAAAAACTTCTGAAGTGACTGAAATACCTTTATCTCCCTGTCTGTGGTTGCATCTTTCTAAAGCACTATTTCATATTAATGATCCTATGAAAGAGCAGCTACAACCATTCTTAATTTCAGGTACTTACATGTACGTATCTTATCTCTCAGATTTTTTTTTTATTATTATTATCTTTATTACAAGGGTGAATATTTTTTTCCCCTGCATTTTACTTCTGGCCTCAACATAGAAGATAAGACTTGAAAGTAACCTGTCATTATAAATAACACTACCAAGCTTTTTTTGCTAACTATTAATTATGTGGACACCTGTTATAAATTGAAATGCTAGAAGTCTTTTTTGTTTCCCCTTTTTGTATAAACCCAAGGGACTACACTAGCAAACAAAATTTAACAGGAAAGTCTTATTTTATGTTTCTGTTCTATTTTGTAGTCTTATTTTTAATCACTGCATGCAACAGATTATGGCAGCCCATGTGAAAAAAAGATCAGACAAGAAAAAACAGAACTTAGCAACTCAGCAGTAATGCCAGTTACAAGGACAGTCAGCACAAGAGGCTGCTTGTGTCAGAGTTCCCTCTGGAGCTCTTTTGCCTCTTGTTCTTCCCAACCATCCCAATACTTCAACTTTTTCTGCAAGTTAGCTGAGGACTTGGTGGTCAAACACTAGATACTCTGAAGCGGGCACAAGCTGTACATGTTAAAATAAAGTTATGCACATTGCTCTTTCTTAGCTGCTGGAAGTAATCTAGAACTGGCAAGTATCCAGCATCCAGGCGTTCCACCACCTCTCCAGCCTCACTTCCAGTACTACCCAAGAAGGCCAGCAAAAAGTGGCCATATCTAGATTCTGCTGCTTGAAATAGTTTCAGGTGATTTTTAAATACATAAGAATTTGTAGACTAATGACAAATTATTCTAGCATCAAAACACACAAAATAGGCAGCACTAAGCAAACGGTCAAAATAAAAGTTGGGGACTATTTTTTCCTGGTTTGAGGGAAGGTGAGGTATTTTATTCTGTTTGGTAGTCCAACAGTTTTCAAAGCATTGTGGAACTGCATATAGATAGTGCAGGTGCCAAGAAGAGAGCTGCCACCAATTCTCCCAAACTATGAGGAGTTGGAGCACTTCGGTATCTACTGTCTTCCTCTTCTGGAAGAGGGCAAGACACAGGGCTTGAATTCTTAACTCATAGCAACAAAAATCGTAAGAACTACTATCCCTCTGCTATTTTCTCCAAGAACATCCATATAGCTCTATAACCAAAACATGCGTTTTTTCAGATCATTTTTCTGACATGATTATTATTGAAACCTGAATCTAGAACTCAGGGATGATGCTCAAGACACTTGACAAATGAAAGACAATTAAGAGTTTTTGCTTCTGGTTATTTAGAGACTAAAAACATCACTACTTTGCTGTCAGTTTTGCTTTGGGAAATGCTAATTTTTTCAACTGGGAAAAGGTACATTCAACTTACATTTCAAATCTAAAGTGTTAGATACTAGTAGCCGAGAGTAGCAATTCAGTCATTATTTCCCATTTTTAATTAAAGCATTGGCTTCTACAACAGCATGGTCACATCAATACTACAGTCAGTCCTGAAGCACATAGATCCATGCTCCCTGTATTTGGAGCTACAGTTATTCTCAAGCACATTCTGTGTGGCCTCAGAATGCAAGTGAGATGGAGGAACGCCTTCATAATATTCAAAGACACAAATATATTCATGACCATATGTCCATATGTGGCTGAAATCTGATTGATATTTCAAACACATACAAAGAAAGCTGCAGTCCTTCTATACATAGAATGTATAGCTCTGAATGCAAACTAAACACTTCCCATTGTGTCAAAGTGTTGTGAATGTGCACTCCTAAAAACACTTTTCCTTATTCTCTCCACTCTTATGATGACTCTCCTGTTCAACAGCCTTTCCATACACTTTAATCTCAGAGCAAGTTGAAATACTGCCCCTTCTCTGATCTCCTAGCAAACAGCTCAAATTATAGACCCTGACAGCTGTAGCAGACCTCTACATTCATAGGAATGCCCCACCCCCCTGCAAAAAATATGGTATTTTTAACCTCAGCTTAGTCATTGGTGTTACATCAGTGGGAAGCATAACATCCACTCAAAGAGTAACAAAAGCATTTCTCTTTTATATATATAGTGCGGCATTGAGCCAATTCAATTATGATGAGATGGACTAAGCATTTATCCTACTCTTTTTTTTAGTAACAAAGCAATCAAAGAGGTAACAATCTATGTACCCACACTTACCTGTGTTTCTAGCCCAGTCTCCTGTCCACTTGCTTCAGATACTGCTGCAGACTGCTGAAGATGACACTCTGCTTGCAAACTCATATTGTCCTGTGAGGCCTCTGCTGTTAAGATTTAACAGAGGAAACAGGAAAACAGAAAATTATAGTACCTTTACATAACAATTAACCATTCCAAATATGATCTCACAGATCTCAGTCTGTTGAACTTTTATAAAGTGTCAAAAAACAACAAACCAAAGCATCCATACCTGCAGTTTCAACATTTTCCTTTTGCAATATAGAGATAACGGATGTTCTCTGGAACCAAAACCCTGCTCCCTCCACTTCCCACAACATCTTGTGATCCCCAGGATGCTTCTCAAGATACTGCTTACAAGCTGAAGAAACAAAAAACCCACTATATTATATATGCTATATATTCAGCTGTACCTCCGTTTTTACAGTTTATCTGAAATCAAATTAGTTTGCAATCTGCCATCATACATGTAAACCACCACAGGAAGAACTGTTCAACAAAACATCTGAGTGAAACAAACATAATATTGCTTTACCCTACTCATCCTTCTCAATAAATCTTTTATTCAGGTTTAAATACTTCCCATTACCTTAAACTGAAAAGAAAGACGGATGGGATTTTCTTTTTCTCTAAGCACCCACTTGAGTTTTACAAGTTCACTGGTCACTGTCCCTGCCAATCACAAGACAACCCAGGATGGAAGGGCTCTTAGGCAGAAGATACAGTCATGTGGTTTTTGTCACCCCATGTTATTATAGGCACTCATGAAAAGCACTCTTTGGGAATGCAAACATTTTACCATTGCATGGTTTATCACCCACTCACTGTTCACTTCTGGAATATTTGTTGTCCCTTCACCTCTTTTCTCCCAATACACATACTGAATATACATGTGGAGAGGAATGCTTTGACTTTATTCTGCAGTAGCTACCAGGAAAACTACTATTTTTCACCTGATTCACTCCTGATGCATACTCTCAGCGGACAAGATCTCCGCCGTATCATTTCTTGACCAGGAAAATAGATTAGTCATTAAATTCTACTCAAGACAGTTTGCTGGTTGAAGCCTAACAAACCAGGTCTAGTCAGATTCAACAAGACAGTCATACTTGAAAAAGCAGAAAATTTCCAGTGGCTAAGAAGGCCAGATAAGTACGTTCACAGAAGAAAGCTTTCAACTTTTAAGGCTGGGCTAGCAAATAAAGTGGACAGCAGACACTCTCTATTAACCCCTTCCTTCCCCAGAAGGACAAGGAGAGGAGAAAAGGGAGAGAGACTTACAGGCTGGAAAATTAAGACTACTTTAATAAAACAATAACAAAAAAAAAAAAAAAGAGTATAACATTAATACTAATACTACTAGTAATAGAAATAAAGACTATACAAAACCAATACTGAGCTTCCCAATTGATACTCAGGGAATTGCAGGCCATGGCCCCTAGATGTCCTGGACTGGATTCTGCAGCCACCACGAACTGGATTCAGGAATTCACGGATCCAGGTCAGAGGCAGGAGAATGAGCAGGGTCCCACAGGGATGCCGGCCATGAAAGAAAAGACTGACCCCCGTGATCCCTTAGCTTTATACTGAGTCTGAGGTGCATGGGACAAAATACTTCATTGGTCAGTGTGATAAATAATATTGTAGTTTTGCTTAAGTCATAGTAGACAGGCAGTCAGAAAGAATGTAAGTTTCCAGGTACCCAAGTATGGGGACAGAGACAAGGTAATGTGTATTCGGATATAGGGTTAAGTTGCTTTGGCTGACACCACTTATCTTAGCCATGATTAGCCTCTACCTGGCTGTTGCCTTCCTGCCCTTATATGGAAGAAAGAGAGGATTAACTGTCAACTTGGGTTTGCAACGTAACTGAAACAATAGAGCACAGGCACCGGAATAAGAAGTTCAACCAAGAGGAAGACTTTGAGCCTTCACCCCACAACCCTCAAAGACGACCCCTAGAGAACAGTGCGCAGACACAAGTGGGAGGGTATAGATGTAAATAATGTCGGGGAAATAATTTAAATATGTATGACTTCTGAAAAATGACATGAATATGAATGACTGTCCTAAATAAATTTATGGAAGTGAGACTAACCAGTGTGCATGCAGGAGGATCACGGAGGTGATCTCCCGTGCACCCAGCACTGAAATAAACCTTTGCTTCACAGACTTTGTCCTCTCTTAAAAACTACATAGGTGAATGTTTCTCACAGTCAGTTTTTGGTCACCTGTCCTGTCTGCACTTTCCTGCAGGTGCAACCCTTTTACATCTTTTCACTTGTGGACCGTAAGAGAGCCAGCAGTGACCTTGGTTCCCATAAGAATAAGTATAAACATGGGCCTTTCTGCATACCAATCCTACATTACTTTAGTAAGAAATATAAACATCATGCATTATCAATTCTGAAAGCAGACACTGTCTGGAAAAAAAAACACAGTCAACTTTAGAAAGTGCAGTCACTCAGAAGAAAATTGAAAGAAAAATTCACTGAAGGAAGAATTGGTTCTGTTTCAGCCAAACCAGGACAGAAGCCTGGCAGATGGCCTAAGAGTAGGACAAGCCTTGAGAAACAGGGCAAAGAAAACATGCTTCTTGCCTGAAAAGAGTCCCAAGCAACATCATTTCCAGAATGTGTGTCATTTCTTAGATGACATAACCCTCTTCGGTTGCTAATGGAAGAACCATAAGTGTTTTCCTTGTACATTAGAACTGTGCCTTCTTATACCCAAGTTAAAACATAGCCTAGTATGTCCATTTGGATAGAAGTTCTGAGAAATCATTAATTTAATGACATTGTGAGGCTTAGTTATGAGCAAGAAAAAGGCACCATGAAGAAGATACACGTTAGACCACACACAGAAACACCTGGAGCCTTGGGGGTACACAGTGGTAAGCTTCACAGTAGCAGAAAGCCAACAGAGATCCAATAATTTAATCTCATGTAGAGGATTAAAAAAATCTAATCAGGAACTATTTCACCGTCTTAAATCAGGATTTTTAGCCTTCACTGAAGAGCAGAACATTTAATACAGAAACTGAGGATGAAGCCACAAACATGGATCTTGAATGACAGCACTCATTTGGACACATAAAGAAAGCACAAATAAGATCAGAAAAATAAACTAAAGAGCTTGCCTGTGTACATTAAGGATGACAGCGGGTATCTTAGGCCAAGAGAACATTCATCAAAGGACTTCACAAAGTCTTCCAACATGATTAGTCCAGAGTCTTTCCCATGATGTTTCTTTCTTACAAACATTGTGTCGAGCACTGGCAGCTTATAATTCTGACGAGAAAAGCTAGATGGACTTCCTGAAATAACAGGAGGGCAAAAAATATTCATCAGTACTTCAGCATTGACATGCTGCAGCATGGATTTTAGCATATTCAAATAAAAACTTTTAACTTATAAAAATTATACCAAATGATATAATTCTAAGTTATATAAAATTATATTAAAAATAATTATAACATTCATTAAAAATAATTGCTATCAGTCATTTATTGGCTCTTTGGGCAAGCTTCATAATGTTGCCAAGATATATCAATAGATTAATATGTTAGAAGAAGTCTGTAGTACTTGAAAAGAATAGCAAAGATAGAGAGGAAAGGCTCACTTTGAAATCTCAGTACACAATTCCATAGTAAAACTATACTAAAAATGAAGCTGAAAGAGGGAGGAGGGAAAAGAAGACAATAAAATTCTTGAATTGCACTTCTACACAGATTATATCACTCCTCAGGACAAATACAGAGACTGTAATTCATCTCTTGTTTAAAGACCGAAACAATAATTCCAATTTTTTTTTTAAACAAAACCACAAAAATCCTAGGACAATTTACATTGGAATTTTCCCATAAACACCACATTATCCATAATTAAACAAAGATGAAACAGACTGTCACAATACATAGGTTCTTCAGTATCAGACAATTCAAAGAGTAACTATAGACTCAGTGGTGACAAACAGATGCTATATAATGGTATTCAGACAGCCCATCAACTATCCATTCCATTTTCAGGCCCTCATTTTGTGAGTCAATGTGAACTATGCCAAAAAGTTGCCCTTTCCTTTGACAAGGCCAAAGTATAAAGTTGTCTATACAACACAGTTAGTCTTTGCAACATTGTACTTTTGAGACCAATGAACGTACTTACCTTCATTTTTCAAGCAAGGAAAATGTGCGCAGAGAGGTTACATGACTGGTATTCCAAAGGATACCCAAGTAAAACTTCATCACTCTTGCCTAACCATCTGTTTCCAGAGCTGTCTTTCTCCATGTAGACTACTCATTTGGAGAATACAGCACACAATCAAACATGGGTAAAATACTGATGTCTAGAAAGATTAGCCTTCAGTGTTTGCTAATGCAGGACAAGTAAATGAGAGGGTATCTTTAGAAATATAAGAAGTGAGCATGAGTACAGCAAAACTTCAGTGCCACATAAAGAAGTGTCCCCATTCTAGACTAAAAATACAGTCACTACTCTGATTTCTAGCTTTAAAGCCACAACAAAAACCACTACAATGTAAATACTACTTTGTGATCACCACACTACAGCAATTTTGACATTAAAAATACTGAGACATATAAATCATGTAGTGTATAATTTTTTTTAAAACAAACACTGAGATAACAATCAAAATAAATTAGCCAATCACTTTCCTATCTTGATTGCCAGATAAGAATAGGTCACTGACCCAGACAGTTTACTATTTTAACAGTTTCCAAAGGCATACATGTGTGTTAGATGGGGCAAGTCTCCAGCAAGCATCCAGTACCATCATTAATCTTGAATTAGTTAACCCTCTCCAGAGATGAAACAAAAATGCCAGACTGTTTCTTCTTGATTCAAATATTGATATTGTACAAAGTGCTATCAATATGCTAAACAGTCTACCCAAATACTAAATTTTATTCAGAAAAAAGTGAAAAACATAATAAATTCCAAAATAACCACAGAGAAATTATGTTTTAGAAAAAGAGAAAAACAAAGTCTGTAACATTAATAACAAACTTGTCAGCTCAATTGTAATCTGAAGGAATGCATGCATGGAAGTAAAAGGAAGCTTTTTTGTTATCACTAGATGTAGCTGAACCTTACGGCTGTGAGCAAAGTTTCTATGCTGTCATGCTATAAAATATTTAAGTAATAATAACATGCGATTCTACAATCATTTCAGCTAAACAGGATCTCTGCATTCTGGAGCTAGGTCAAAAATACGAAAAAAATCCAAACAAAAACAAAAAACCAAGCACAGCCCAATCCAACCATAAACAATTGTTCTACAGAAAAAGAAAAAAGCTTTCAGGCATACCTCATTTCTACAGTTTTAAATATATTTTGTAGAATATGAAGAAATCTAAGAACTTTCTTAGATTGCTAAAGCATGTAAGCATTTAAGCTAGAAATTTTAACAGTACTGTGACCTCCTATGATCTCAGGAAAACACTAACTCATTAGGCCTGCAAGGCTTGTAGAGTCTACTACATACAATATTCTTCAAATAAGCTCCCTATCTTCCCCCCTCTACTCTCTCAAATCCCACAATACTCAAGTGTTTTACCTGTAGGTTTAACAGAATAGAATCCAATAGCCTCTCCATTTTTCCACATGATCTTAGCATAGTCATTGCTACCATGACAGAGAAATGGGACCTCATGTCTTGCCATTTCTTGCGTCCGATAGATAATTCGATTCAGAACATAGAGAACAATCCTCTCTCCAACAGTCTCCACCTAATGAAACAAAGAACATTTTAGAAGAGTGGTCAGATTAGTTAATACTCACACATCAAGGACCTTATTTTTCAAAGTTGCCAGTTAACACAGTCGTAGACAGAGTCAAGAGAAGCTGTAAGTGCTAAAGCAGGATGAAGCTCTGTGGTTTGAGGGCAAGGAGATGCTTCGGAGCCACCACAACAGGTTAAGTATAAAGCATTACCACAGACAGAGGATATTTCACAACTTCAATGTCACTCCTAATCCAATGTGCAAAAGCTGAGAGAGGTGCTGGGAGTGTGGCGGGGGTGGAATGCTCAAAACTATTTTTGCATTTAAGAAACATTCAAACACAATACTAGTACACCAGCCACAGACTTCCCAGGCTAGCAGGTAACTGGAATCCTACAAAGCAGAAATGAACCTCACAGGGTAGCAGGACTTGGCACACTCAATCACTGCCGATAGAGTGGCAGACAACAGGACATGATGCAGTGGAAGAACTAGTTTACAACAGTTTCCGTGGTATAAATCAAGTAACTCAATATCCTTTTCTCTGTCCTCCAGGGTTCCTTTTACATATGAAATTTAAGTTCACCACTATCCTATCCACTCTGAAGGAAGAATGAAGGAATCATCCTCTCTTCCCAGTGCCCCTGATTTAATCACTATCCTACCATTAAGAGGCACATGGAAAACAAGGCTACATGCCAAATTCTCCAGAGTAAATTAAAAATACAAATATCAAAGATGAGTGCTCAGATTCCATGAGCAGGTATAAATTACACTCCTGGAAAAATTTCCAGTTTTTGAAAAATAAAAACTCCATGCTACACAGGTGTCAGCAATGGTAACAAAGGTCAGTGATGAGCAATAAGGCGGGCATTGAGCAACTTAGTTTCCCAAACTTCATGTATTGCCACTGCAAACCACCAGCTCCAACTTGCCTCTATCAAACAGGTTCCCAACAATATTTTTAGCTTACTAGTCTCCTGATGAGACCAATAGGTACTGCTATGGTACAATGTACCACTCCACTAAGACACTTCAATACAACCAGACATATGATGTTCTAAAGAATAAAGAAAAAACCTCTTAACATCACTAACATCTAAATAGCTTACATATGAAGCTACTGTATGAGAATCACTCTTGCTCTAGACTATCTTCACAACCAAGGTCCCTCCCCCTAGTACATATTTGTCTATTCCCATTGACCTTGCTTTTGACTTGAGACAGCCAACTTGTTTCTGAATGAAGTGAAAAACATGTAACATCTCACACACTAGCTATCTGCCATTACTTGCCACTATCCTGAATGATACGAATAATTGTTAGGTGAATGTTGGAGCGCTTTACCTGACGAAGCCCCTGTCTAGAAGGGACAGATGTTCTCAAAATGTCATCAATTGACCACCACTGGTCAGCAAGATACAGGGCTACAGCTTGAAAGAAACAAGGGGAAATAAAAAGTTAGTGATTCTTACCATTCTAAAAGAAACATATTCATTAAAGCTACTAAACAATTAGGAATAACACTCTACTAACCAAGTTAAGCATCTTCCAGTTGGCACTAGATTAATGCAGCTCTCACTACCCCAGAACAACAATTTTGTGCAGTATGACATACAGGAACTGTTCTTCAGACATAAGCACTATCTTTCACCATTGCACTCTAGCACCTCCTTCCACTAAAAACTGGCCCTTCCAAGTGCAGTCATTCATATATGTATTTCAGTTTTGGGTTGCTAATGGATATTGATATTGAAACTGTGCAAGTTTTAGGGAGTCAGGTGAATGTAAAAAGGCTGATAGCCATGTGATTAGCAATCAGGAAGAATTTGATCTATGGGCATTTGTGGCAAACTTGGCAATCATACATGGCATTAAATGGAAAGAGAAGGAAACATGCAAGACTGGAAGGGAAGTGAGAAAAGGAGGTAAAAAAAGCCAGTGAGATGTCATTAGAGCCAGAGCTATGTTAGGACTTAAAGCTAAAGACAAATTTATGATGCTGATCAATCACTGCTAATAAAGAACACCTAAAGTCATGGGCAAATTAATGGATACTACGAATGCTCCATAAATTCCTTTTGGAGAGGTGAGGTGTGCATAAGGAGATCAAGAGATACATGTTGTACTTAGAGTCAGATAAGCACCATGTTATTCTGCTATGTATCTTCTGAATTCAATGGGTCCAGTTCTACTCTGATTAGCATGCAAAGTTCTATCACTTTTGTACATGAATCCACAACAAAAATAATAGTATGGGCAACAATGCGGTAAACAACAAATGCAAAAAAGTAACAAACTTATGAGCTACACTAGCATGGAATGAGCAAGGGCCTGGTTACATGTATTTGTCACAGCAAGAGAACCATCAACACAAGAGATTAAAATCTTTAAATGAAACCTGTGAGTAAGTCCCCTGGTGCAAACAAAGCAAGAACTTTGCGCGTCTGCTCTTCACCGTAAAGAGGAATGAAGCCCACAGTTGACAAGCTAATAGGAACCTGAAACAAGAGTGTACAATACTTCAATAGACTCTTGCTAAAACAACATCAGTAAAATATACAGAGAATGTTTAGCAGGGTAAGCAAGACAAATGTTGAAAACCAAGTGCTTAACTGTTAACTGTAAGGACAAGCATCAGACCCCGGCCCTTACTGCAGACATTTCTTCCTGAAGAGAGACTACACTATAAAAAGCTCCAACTGAAGTTCTGGCAGATTTACCTACAGTAATTTATACTGTTACAGCTCTCTGCTGTCAGCAGTTCACATTTATATGCATAACTGAAGTAAGCTATTCAAAGGGCGAGCAGTATGTTCACTTCAACTGTCCCAGCTATGCAAGTTGTCAAAGCCAACAGGAGAGTAAGGCAGGCAGTCAAGCACAGAAACAAACTGGCACAGCAAAACTGCTGTTTGTTTACACAAGCCCTAATGTGCTACAGTCGGAAGACTGGATTCAAAATGGTTTTCTTCCCTTAAATTGCACACATTTTAGAAATTCCAAAGTTGACTGCTTGATTTCTTCTCAGGAACAATGTGAGAAGGGACAAATCAATCCACCTTTCAGGAGCTGAGTACCTTTGTGGAAATGCATTTTGATATTTAAATTCACGTTTTCAATATTTAATTAATGCATAAAACTAGACAGTTCTTAATGGTATGGTAAATAGACTGCTTACCCAATTTAAGAAGATGATGATATGCTATGCTACAAATGAGGACATTAATACAAACAAATATTTAGGCACACAGCACTTCCAGAAATGCAGGGAAGTACTCAAGACTACTTCTGCCAAGGAATCTGCAGCACTGACCTTTTGTTCCCACAGAGAATCCTCTCAGTTCACTCACTTTTCATTAAAGCTATACACCATTGCTTTTATTGGTACTAGTTCTAATAGAAACGTTCATCTAAACAGAACCAATGTTGACCAACTTATCATGCAAGGGATAAGTGTTTAAAACAAAGTGTCACAGCCAGCCTCTGTAAGAACTCCCAACAGCAAGGAATATTTCAGATAAATGAGAATCACTTCTGAAATCAGTGAAACTTGCTGATCAAGAACTGAAGTCAACCATGAAGACCACTGATGGACTGAGATACAGAAGCTAACTGGCTCTTCTTGTAAATTATGAACTCCTTAGTTACAATGATAGATTTTTGTGACTGCACGAATTAGTGCTTTTTAGGAGAGAGTTTGACTCTGTTGAAATTTTAAGCTTTTTAAAAAGTTACTTAATGCATACAGATCCATTGCCTAGAAGCAGCAAGTAGTTACTGATGTGCAGATTTAACCCTAATTACAGAATAAAAAAAAGTAGAGCTTAACACACAAATAGGAATTCAGAAAATACAAAAGCTTTGCTAAAATAATTATGTAATTCAATAGTTATGGACTGGATATTTTAAATCTTAAATCTACAAGTGTATCAAGAAAACTGGGACTAAAGTATTTGCTGGTTCTTACTTTGTTGTTCTCTGACAGAGACAAGAATTCGGGATGGTTTGGACTCCCACGCCGAAGGCGAGATAAGTAGTCCCCTGCTGAGCTCTCCAAGTCCTCATGACTGCAGCTGGTCAACAAATCCACAGGGAATAACATCCTCTTGAAAAATAAGTAACAGTATTACTGTAAGTAGTTTGAGAGATACAATGCACAGTTTAACACATATTCACATATTCCTACTAAAGCTGCAACTAGGACGGCTGAACACCACGCCCCTGCTGCTCTCCAGAGCCCTCTACATCCAAGCCAGAAATAAGAAGTGCTCCAGGCATTTACTTAGGACAGCGCCTATTAACACCTAGTCTGTAAAACAATACACGAACCCACTCTGTTTCCAAGCAGAAAAAGACAGATCTAGCCCATAGATCCCCCTAGACCCAAACGTGGCAGATTTTCATCATACAAACCCACTGTTTGCGGCACATGTACAATAGACCACACACGGCCTTGAGGTTATCTCCCTCCTAGCTGATGATTTTGAGGCCACAGATAAAGCAGTAAGCAGCCAGTGAAAAAGTAACAGTCCAAAAGATAAGAAAGAGGAGTTCGTCTATTTCGGAGACTTTGCATTTAAATCCATCTGTGAACAAACCAAAGCATTGTTCAGAGCTTCTCTCAATAACTGGCCAGTTAGTATGCCTACAAGCTGGTTGTTTCCAAGACCATTTAAACTGTGAACAGAAGATGCTACAAGCTCATTAAAAAAAGAGAGACCCCACAACAGACTAAAGAGACACTTTAAGGAGGAGACAAGACAAAAACTAAAGCATTGAAGACCAACTATAGTGGCAATAGTTCCTTTAAAGCTCAGATTCAAATCTTCTTTGTCAAAGCAGTGTCAAGTTAAGATGAACAAGAGCTCCTGCAATCCACTGCGTGCTCTTCAGCTAAGGCTCTTCCAGGTTTATAAAACTATAGGCAGAAACAGACCCCTCTGTTCCTTTCAAGCTACAGCATAAACTCTTACAAGAAAAACTCTCACAAGCCTGAGCTACCACAAGTTCATGAGAACCTGCTCTGGAGGAACATAGGGATCTCTTGATGTGTCTTGCTCAGCTCCCAGGAACTTAGCACCCAACTCTCAAACACAAAGCTTTTCACAGGGCATTTACGATTCCTAGTCTCCACTAAGGAGTCTTTTTTAATTTTAAATCCTAGTGTCCAATGATTTTTTTCCTTTATCTCTAATCCACCTTCAGTGTTCTACTGACACAGGTAAATCAAATGCAAAAGAACTTCTTATTTCAACTCGCCCAATGGCAATTAAAAAGTCCACCCTTTAAAAGCTTTTTAACACCAATAATGTACTACTATTAAGTTGCTTAAATAAATGAGGCTGCTTCTTCTACATGAGAGATTTTTTTTTTTCCCCTCCTGTTAAAATTGAAAACCAAACTTGGACATGACTTCATTGGCACTTACAACTGCTAACTTTAATGCTTTTGCTGATGAAAACACTAATGCTTTCCATGAATGCTTGTTTAGCTGTACACACACATTCCCCACAACCATTTCCTTTCAAATTCAGCTCATTCCTGCCCTCATCTGTTACTTGGGTTCTCTCTCACCTTCTGTTCCAGTCTCTCACATTCCTCCTGCTATTGCTCACTGCCCCTTTCTGACCCTTAGTTGCACCTCTTAATTCTCCACCTGTTTCTGCCCACCTTCCAAGTGTGCCCTTGCTAAGAGGGCAGAAGCAGGCAAGAGATACCTGACACCAGCCAACTCCATTTGCTCCTCCTGTTTGCATGTGAAGGGACTTCAAGAGCCAAAGGTAAGGCACACATTACCTTTGAATGCAACAGCAATGCACAGCAGCCAGAGGAGTTGCTGCCAGGGAAGAAATTCATCCACCACTGGTCTCCTCACCTCTAGCACGTAAGGTTTACTCACCCATATTACAGTTCTGAAACACACCAGCAATACTGTAGTACACACAGATAGGCTAGCTGGAGACAAGTACATTGCAAGAGAAATAAGAAAAGAGGTGAAGTGTGAGATTACATGTCATTGCTTCTACAAGAGGATGAGGCTTTAGCGCCCTGTTAGCTGCAACAGGTCAGGTAAATTCTGCCTTAAGGGAACACAGACACATGAAAAACAAAGTTTAGTTTTCTGTATGCTGGCAGAAAGGGGACATCCCCCTCTGCTATTAAAGAAATACCTACGTGCTTGGATAACTAAGAATAACAGACAAATCGAGCTGAGCTTGTTATTACATGACAAACAGACAAGCAAGCCAGAAGGTATAACTGAAAGCCTCTAGGTAATAATTCCTGACTTTTTTTTTAGCATAAAATAATGCAGGACCAAAGCAGAAAACACGCAATAAGAAATTCAGTAGATTATCTGAGTTCCAACCACTACAACACTATGAAAATAGAAGCAACAACCATACCTTCGCTTATAAGCGAAGACAACAGAAACTTCTTTTCTACTAATTAATAATAAATTCATTGAATTACCCTCAAAATCATTCAAAGACCTCCTTTCTGTTTAGCTGTTTGGGTTACTTAACACTTTCATATAGCATACTTTGATTTTGTCCACTCCCAACTCACTTATATTAGTCACTTCTGACTTTTCATCTTTTATCATTCAGAGAGTATAGATTATACAGAGAAAAAACAATACACAGCAGTCTTCAAGACTGAACCAAAGAAAACCTACACAGCATCCCTGCTAAATAACCATCTATCATTGTAGCATGCAGCAGATTAGACATGTAGAGTGATAAGCTCTCAAATACTTGCATGATGTAATTTGTCTCAGTGGTGATGAGATAAGAAATATTTCACAACATTTAAGTTCACTACATGCCTGAGGAAATCAGTAACTAATGGCTCCACATCTAGCCAGTCTCAATGCAGCAGAGAGAAATAGAGAAAATAACTTTTCAGTTTTCCTTGACAAGAGCATTACACATTGTCCTCGGCAGAGGCAGCAGGAACAGCACAGGTCTCTGCCACGCAGTCCCTCATTCCCCTTTTTGTTGCTCTAAGCCTCAGTGTGTTGCATGACCGTAAAACTGTCAGGTCAAATCCTTGTCACATATTGCAGGACCGTGCTCTGCTCCCAGGGTACCACTGCAATTGGTTAGCAAACAGGTTGACCGAGCAACTTGCGATGTACCCTTAAGCAACCAAACTCATCACAACCATTTGTGGAAAAGGCATATTAGAAGTGTGTGTTTGGACAGGGGTGAAGAAAACTTGTTTTTAAAAGGGGAAAAGTACACTTTTCATGTTTCAAGTGAAAGAAAATAAATCTTACACTCTTCATAACCATATCATTTCATGTAACAGTATCAAAGACTGTATGTAATAAACTCACATGAGCAACATTTGCTTTAACATGGAATCCTATGACTTTCCCCCATGTCAACATTACGCAAGCTACTACATGCTAAAAGGCACGTCCTTTTTTAGGAACAGCTGCAGGACCAGAGAGTAACAGAGATCAATTCAAGGAACACTGACAAAACCCACTTTTAACAGCGTGAGTGAACACATTCCAGTGCAACCGAGGCAGTTCCTTATTCATAAAATCTTTATTATAAGCATTAAGGTTAAAAAAATTAAATGTAGAGTAAGTGGGCAACATTGCAAAATGATTTCATTATAAATTATAGCTGCAACTTCTATTTCATCTCAGAAGTGCATGAAGGAGAGGTGCAGAGGACATGCAGCTTCCAGCTCACACATGGATCTCGGAACTGAGACATCTGTTCATCCCCCTGCAGACCCTCAATACAAAATAGCTGAAAGATAAGTGATAAAAGCTGTGTTGTTTCTTACAGCATGTCAGAGGGCTTAAGTACAGCTTAAAACTGGTTTTGGGTGCCTTTATCTCAGGGGAACTGAAGTCTAAGTGGTTAGGCTGCCAGCCAAGGCTTTAAAAGGAATCAGGATGAATTTCCAGCTCTAACACAGACGTGTCACTTGATCTGCCTGAACTCCTCATCTACAAAATGAGAATAATCATTGCCTCAGAGAGACCAGTATGAGAAACACTTTAGGGGGATCATGAGATACTTTAACACAAATTGTATCAAAACTTGACAAGTACTAGAAGTAGACAATTACCTACAGAGCACAACTTAACTGCACAGCTCACTTTCCTTTAAAAAAAAAAAAAAATCACAAACAAACCACCAAGGAGTTTTCAACATAAAGTAACTGGGACAAATAAACACGCCTGGTATAACGAGTATGTGCTAAACTAAATCCACAGCTACAGAGCAAGTAAACAGTCTTCAAAATCTTAAAATTTTTGTTTAACAATAATAATTTCATTAGGGTTTTTTATTAACATTTGAAATTTAGAGAACAGACACCAGGATGCTCAAGCTATGACCTGCATAACTTCTCTGCTAAACCAGGAGAACTAACCCAGCCCCAGCCCACAGGACACACATCAGGTACAGTCCTATGATGAACTATTGGCCTACTTGGGCAAAAAAGTAAACTGCAGTAGTGCCTGACTTAAGCTTTAATCTATTTAAACAAGAGCTGAAGCATTGGATCACAGAACTCCTGAAGGACAGCCATGCATTTCTTATGAATAATGACACACCTTGAAACAAGTTTTAGCTTAAAAATATAATCCTACTATGATCTCCCAGACTAGCTACAAGCTACACCTGGGGTAGCATCATGAGAAGAGACATAAATAACAAACTAAATGTATCTCTCTATATACACACTAGCTGCTGATGTTCCAGAGAAGATCAAGCCAGCACTGCAGAAGTCCCAAGCCATGCTCCAGAACCAGCAATCCAATGGTGTA